TGCAGACCACTGCCCTTGGACAGACTGACTGCACCCCGTCCTTGTTTTGGGCTGTCTGAGTCTTGAATCTTCATCTTCCACAGTTCTATTCCCATGTGCCCCAAGTATCTTCTGGACTTGAGGAGAAAGCAAAACTGAGTTTCAGTGCTACAGTTCCTCCTTACAGGAGCTGTGACCAGTTCAAAGTAGCCTTCTCATGCCTGGTCATAAAACATCTCACAACAACAGAAGTGAAACATCAAAGGGAAAAAATTAGCTGTTACCCTACACCCCCCCGTTCTCTCTAAATCCCCAGTAATCCAGACAACTTCCTGGATTTCTTCAGTAATCCTCAACTTCCTTACAGCCACGGAGTTGCCCGCATCTGCCCCAGTTCCCCTAAAACAAGCCTCTTTTTTCTTGTCCTCTCCCAGGAATATTCCTTTTAAACTATGATGATCAGTGTCATCTTCTTGGATCTGGAGAAAATCAGTCATCTAGATTCAGCACAATCTTTGACACCTTTGGGGTCAAAGACTTGAATGTTTTCTCTTAACATCCCTCAGCTATACCCTAAGATGTTCTTTCACTTGCCACTCTTATTTTTCCAAGCAGCCCTTCACAAGGGATTTCATTCTGTCCACTAATATATCCAAAACCAACCTAATCATCATAACATAAAGTTTTTGTAAGTTGTTAGAGGTTTACAAATAAGGAAAAACAGAGCCAGCAAAGACACTTAGCTGCTTCCATGATCTAAATAAGCCTTGCAAAATCAATCAAAAATTATTACTTTTTGGTCAGCTTTGACTGCAGAGCCTCCCTTCACACTGCCACTATGGCCAAATATCAGTAGTGAACAACTATTGGGAGAATGGGAGTGGAAGACAACTTGGAAGGCCATGGTCCTCTTAGGCAGAAGTGCATTTGCACTTTGCTAAGGAGCAGATACCACCTGCACAAGATGAGCCCGGCCCTGCTGATGCACCAGAGCAGGCCCAATTCCTTTCTCAGTACTGAAGGGATTAGTGGGTAGCTGGTAGACTGAAGACTGTATTCACTGCTTTAGGTTTTCTCAGTATGTATCCTCATAACAGAGTTTAATGAAAAATTCTTAAAAGCCGCACAAATGCCATAATAACGCATGCTATTGCAAATAAACATAAGCATGAACACAGACGGCCTGAATAACACCATGTGTGTTTGTGCAAACACTAAAAAACAAGCAAATGATCTCAGCAGAATTGGCTGTCTCAACTCCTTGCCCATGTACATTTGCAGAACAAAATGTAAATGCTCATTTGGTGTTGAGGCAACGGTCACCAGTTACTCCAGCAATAAACTGGCTTTTCTGCCTGGTTCTGTCACTGTCTTGTCTAGCCAAACTTGTTCTTCTGAACAACCTTGGACAAGTTACTTTGGCTCAGGTTACCCTTTCTGTAAAATGAAATTAATCTTTATATCATACACTTCAAACCCAAGGACACTAAGCTTTGCATTGGGCTGGGGACACCAGGCTTTAAAAAGCAGCACTAAACCACTCTGTAGGCACTTTCAGGCCCTCAGTTCCTCTTAGCACCATTCCTGAATGGAGGGAACACTTCATATACAGACACATATGCACACAGAGATGTTTTTTTTTATATATATATATACACACACATATAGCCCAGACTGTTAGGGTGAGATTAATTCATTAAACCCCTTTCCAGGATACAGCATACTTTGCTGATGCCAGCCACCAGCCTGACAGGCAGAGTCACACTTTGGCTATTTTTTCCTCCCGCCTGGCCACTCTCCACATTCCCTGGGAGAGCATCTGGCCCAGGATGCCTGTGCTCCCTTCAGATCTGGGGGCTGCTTTGCGGTTGACCTTTTCACAGCTGCCAAACAGAGAGGAATCCTTATTCCTTCCTACTGCTCTGCACAACTGTTTGAGGCTAGTCTTGAATAGCTCTAAATCATTTGATTGTAAGAGTTGGTCCCAAACCTGCTGAGTCAGGAGAATGCTTTCCTGGTAATATTCAGGCACCTGTCGGAGGCAATTCCTTCCACAGCCATCGTGGTCTCTACTGGCAAACTTGCTGGTGCCACTGATTCCAGCAATAAATGATAACTATCTTTCCCTGGAGCCGCTGCAAGTCTGGATAAAAAAAAATCAGAACTGTTTCTGGAAGAGTATCCTCCTCACTCCTGTCAGCAGACACCCAGGGTAACTCCAGTGTTCGATGCCACCAAGCAGAGAGCCTCCCGCTCCCAGGCAGCGCCCATCTGTCATCCAGACTGAGCAGCTTTATGTTGCCTAGGGCTTGTCAGAGAGGTGACAACATGGGATTAGCTAGGAATGAAAGCTGCTGTCATAGCTAAAGGACAGCTTAAAACCAAAACAAAACAAGACCTCCTGAAGCAAGAGGCTCAGAGTGCCACAGGTTTTAGCCAGAAAAGAACAGCATCAGATCAGAGCTCCTGTATATTCCAACTCACGGAATTTCCTGTGGCCCATTGAATTTCTGGACACGTTCACACGAAACGTGTGAAAAAGGAATCACTAATTTCAGATGGACTCCTAGGAGTTTTTTCTCAGTGACTTCTTGGAAAATAACATTATTTATAGATCCTTTTTTAAGATCATGTATGTAGTCATAGATCATTTTATTTCAGTTCCCTGATCTCTTACTCTCCAAGAATTCTGCCTTGAAGGACCTGTGATGGTATCAGCAAAGCCAAGTTTGTTTTTCTTCTGGTTGTTGCTTATAACTGCCCACCTCCATGTTCCATGTGCACTTTACACAAAAGAGAGCAAACAGCAAGCTGAAAGAAATGAGCAAGCATCCAACAAGGTGATGCTGACTGCTGCCTTGTAGCCTGCAAATGCTTGGGGATCCATGGAGTATTTCTCATGGGTTCACAGAAGTTTATGGGCTTAAAGGCTTTCCATATGTGTTTAACCCAGGCTTAAAGATGCTTCACAGAGGCCCACAACTTCTATGGAAAATTTGTATGGACTTGTACATGGCAAAAGACAGAAAACCACTGACTGAAAAGTAACTAGGTTACTTTTTGTGCATTAAAAACAACACCTGAACAACTCCCACAACTGATCTACTACACATACATTGAAATACAAGTGCAGAAGAATAACTACCCCTTTAGATGGAAATTCTGCTTTTAAAGTGTTTGTGAAGTGGTTCCTCTTAGTGAGCTTCTACAACTCCCTGGAGGAGAGCAAAGTTGTGAGACCAACAGAGTGTCCCATCTCCCGAAACAGCCCTGCTCCGCTTCCCCCTCCCTCCCAGCACAGCCACATCTTCTGGTCAGGCAGTCACGCATCTCCACGGCCTCAGGGAACCCGCCCTGCCAAAAATCTATGTGGTAAAACATAAAAATAATCTTCAGAGCGATCAGGCTGTTCCAGGACATCTGGCCACAAGGGAAGTAGTGAAATATTACATCTGAGGTGCTGGGGAAGGGTGGACCATCCTTTTCTGCACCAGCTGGCACTATCAACAGTGGGAAGGCTGCCTGAGAGCATCAGCTAGAAAGCCACTCTCTTTAGGTGACTTACTGATTACATTGGGCTACCTGGAGAAGAGCATTGGCCTCCCAGCTAGTCTCTTCTTTGCTCCTTTTGTATGCAGAGAACTGAGTTACTGAGGATGAGGCCACAGGCAGGCAATAGTGCTTCGGAACTTGGGAATGGTGCTGAAAGACAACGCCCTTCCCAGCAGTTCCCTGCCACCTTCTCCTCTGGCACAGACAGGGGAAGGGATCAAGTGAGCATCCCTGAACCCAATCCACTGCTGATTCACCCCAGTTAGCTAAAATCGCTTTGCACTGGCCTTGTTCTGTGTTACTCTCTTGTCATAGTCAGCAGAAGAGGGGAGAATTGTTGGGGTTTTTTAATGGCTACAGTTCCAGACATTCAGAAATGTATGTAACTTAGTTCACATGCTTAAATCTGTATTATTTGGTGTGAAGAAATGTTGACAGGTTCCTAAGCGCAGCCCATATCAGGCCCCCTGATTATGTTTTGAAATGCCTTGCCTTTCTGGGAAAGAGCTGCCACAAACTGCTTGGAAAAAGCTGAAAAAATATTACTGCATAACCGTGACATCCTGGGTAACATCAGAGCTGTGTCACTGAAAGAAATTCCTCGTGTCTGCAAAGTGCCAGACTGGTGCAGGCAAAGGAGGGCTGAGACAACCCCCAGGCACCTCCAGCATGGTCACCAGGCTGCAAGGCAAGCAGGCAGGTACTGGCTAGGTGCTGGCGAGCTTCCCTCCTAGCACTTCAGCAGGCACCTTCTCTGGATGCCCTGGAAGCATGGGAACTTGGCTGTGAAAGCGCTGCAGGACAGTGTAGATGCTGCCACCTTATAGAGCTATGCTGGCTCACCCCAGCCCCAAACTGGCGAAAGAAATAAGGGAATAAATGGAGGAGAACAGAAAAATCCCTCCGATTCCAGCCTGTGTATGCCTCACCATATGGTCTCCCGTGGACGGTACACCCAGTTCAAACTAGAAAGATGAGAACAGGGTCTTAACTCTTTCTGACAGACACTAACGGTTAGCGCAGTGAGTTTCACATGAACAGAAGATTTCAGCACGGCTCCTGAAACATGTGTGTGACAAAGTCTCTCAGAGAAGGAAAAAAGACTGAAGCAAATTAAAAGAAGCACGTCCCTGCCTGCCAAATCTCCTGTGAGTTCTTTCTTTAGCAAAGTCGCCAGAAAATGCTTAAGTGGTATTGAAGGAAAGAGACTACGATGAATCCATTTCCCAAGGGAGTCATGAGATCTAATATAAACAAGTTGAGGGCTGCAAGGCAAGGCAAGGTCTTATTTCCAAGCACTGACGCTAGATGGAGTAAAACTGAATAAAAGACTAAGAGCAGTGAAGAAAAGAGAAAGGATGAAAAGTTCCTGCATTTCCCCAACACATAATGCGTTGCTTCTTTGAATGCTTATCTTTGGTTACTGCTCTGAAAGTCACAACTAATATCTCACTCTCTATATTTTGCAGGTCAAATATGGGATCAAGCCAAACGAGGTATGTCCTGGGGGAAGGGGGAGCCTGGTGGAGCAGGGAGGTGCAGTGTCAGTACTAGGCAGACTCATAGAAGTTACAAATCCACCCAGGCAAAGGGGAAGGTCGTGCAATAATAAAGCCTGGGGGGTTACCCTGAGTTCCTACTGACGGCCCAGAGCTGCCAGACACTCTACACAGCCTGAGGCAAGTAATTTAACTGCCTTGTCCTCCAGCTTCCCAGTTGCGTACCCGGAATGCCCTGACACAAGCCCCAGGCATACTGCAAGGCTGCCTGCCCTACGCAGCTGCAATGCAGCTGCTCCCGCATTAGTGGGTACTCCAAGTAGTAAGCTCTTGGAAAGATGTAGCCACAATATGGATCCAGGAGCCATTCAGCTGCTCCCCACTGACATGGCAAGGCAATACTGGGAAGTGGCCCAAAAAACGATAAGGCAGAGCCTGCAGCACAGGGAGCAGTTCTTGCAGTAGGATGCTGCCCTAAAATGCATTGCTCGCTGCTAGCGGATTCCTACCTGGCAGTGAAGAGGGCATCTGGAAGTCACCACACCAGCCAGAATGATACATCTGTTCTGTTAATTCACTTAGGAAAACCGGATACCTCCAAAGATACAAAGAAACATCTAGGAAAATAAAAGTTAAGTAGGAGGAACTTCATTAATGTAATTCCAGCAGCTCCATTAATAGTTTTCTAGAATTCCTGTAATTTTTATCTGCGTTATCTCCCAGTTCAGCTTTTACAATGATGCTGCGGATCACCCCAGGTAAAACTGAAGCCAGAAAGTTTCTGTTAACCTCTGATGTTTCCTTCTTTTCAGAGATGACATCAATGTACTAGGAAAACAAAGTACAAATTATCAATAAGCCTTTTGCAATCGTTACCTGGTCTGAGGATCAATTGAAGTCCCTTGTGCGCAGGCAGGAATCTCACCAACACCAATTCCTTTCTTTGTTCTCTAATTGAAAGACTGATTGACTGATTACAGGAAGAGCTTATAGTGCCTGCTAACTTCGATCACCTGCACACAGAAAGCCTGCAATCCCCAACAGCATGTGTATGAAGGACATGTATGAGGAAAATAAAACAGATGAGCTCTGCTCATTAATAGATCCTGTTTAGTCTGCAATAAGTATATGATTGATTTCTAAAATCAATTAAGTACAGGCTAATCAAAAAGGTAGCAATACATTTCAGCAGCAGAACTCATGGTCATGCCCATATTTCAAGTGAGGTAAATAATGACTGGAATGACTTTAAAAATCATTAATTGGAATTTGAAATAAAACCAGGCTTCTCAAATTTCTCAGGAAATAAATGTTCTCTGTTAATACAAAAACATCTCATTCACACTGAAGTTATACCTTTTTTTTTAGCTTTAGGATGGACATCTTTAACTGTCGGTGGCAATACTAATTTCAGCCATTTAAAATGACTTATAGTCATTTAACATGAAAAATTCCTTTCTGAGATAATGTTTTTCATGTGGTTTTTTTTAGAACATTGAAATGAAAACATTTTTATATACTCAAAAAAAAGTTTCTGGACATGTGAAATGAAATATTTCATACCAACATTCTATAAACAAGCTATTCTGACATTTCCAAAATTCACCCATCCCTATTTTTTTAGTATAAGACAATGCAGTAGGTTTGATCAGAATTGGTGAATAATAACTCCCAACCCCTTCATTCTTGTTATAGCTTTATATTTTCTGTCGAATTTGATTTCATCAAAATTGCTTTGCCTGGCTCCAATTACAAGCTTCTTACAGTGGGAGTGGCAACAGGAAAAAATAGAGCTTTGTCTCAGAACATTTAGGATTGTTTAAGTAATTCTAAATGGTTTAAACCAAAATTATTTTGTAAACACATTCGAGCTTTACCAGAGCTGTGAGCCTGTGGCTTTGGTCTCAACTGAGAAAATAATGCTACAGATTCTGTTCTGTTTGTTTAAATCCACTTCTTTCTTTCAAAAAGGCAAGTGTTATACTGAATTCCAACCTAGAAATTTTGTGAGTTATCAAGAAATATCACTCAAAAAATCATGGAAGCCAGGGCCTCCCATTCAACGATCAACTTTCAGATCTTGAAGAGCTGCAATTAACCCCCCACGTTAAAGGCGGAACTGATGTGCTGAGTCAGGGACTTCGAGTCAACACACTGTCAGGGCAGCAGGGCAGATATATCAGAATTTGATTTCTGTGAAGAATAAGCTACTGTACTATTTGTAACTGTAACTGAAAAGATTTGAATATGGTTTTGTTCTGACCTTAGCAAAACAGGTCATTTTCCAAATACGCAAAGGAAACTGGATGGTAATTTTTGCTGCACATTTTGAACAACAAAATGCAAGGTTTATTTTCAGAGAAAATTGATATATTGGAATAATTTCCCTGGATTCCTAGGTGTCTGTTACCCGGTTCTGTAACACTGCAGTTCATTAGCAGCATTTGCTAACAGATAAACTAAAGCAGTAATGTGATACTTGTAAGTAATTGTGTGTGTGTACATGTGTAAGTGAATAAACGGTCTTGTAAGGTATCTGTTAATTGATTTGCTTCCGTTAGTACCATTTTAATTAAGACTTGGAACAGAAGAGAGCATGTGGTCAGGGAAGGAAGCTATTACCTTCCCTTATTTGTGTGAACAAATGTTTCTTTCACATCATTTCAGTACACTATGGGAAACAAAAATGAAAATAAATTAAAAATGGTAAATTACAAGCAGCAGAGGAGAGAGGCCTGGAGAATTAAGGTTAGTAATCCTGACCAGGTAAATGTGCTGGGGTGCTGAATAGATGATGAGCTCCCGAAACCTTCTGGTGTGTGCCTTGGCTCCCTGGGTATGCGAAAAGGATGGGGAGTGCTGAGACAGACAGCTGGGGACAGGGGACCCCCAGAGCTGCTGCTTCTGCCACCATGAGAGGTTTGGGCAAACTGAGTAGCTCCCATCACAGCACGGGACGGCCGTAGCAGCAGCAACCAGTGTCCCCAAAGCCCCCACAACTGCAGCAGCCAGCCGGACTCTGTACAGACAAACGAGGCTGCTGCAACCATTTTGCCACCCCAGGGAGTTGCCAGTTTTGCTCATTCCTACAACCAGCTTTACCAGCACCACTTGCAGCATCAGCACCCATCCTGAATTTGGGCCAAGCTGCACAGCACTGCTTGGAAATAATCAGTGAAGGAAAACTAGATGAAAGGGGACCATTTTGAAGGCATTCAGTCAAAAGATGAAAGACACTCTTAGCTCCACTAATTCTTGATCAAGGATGCAGCCCAGGCAGTCAACAGCCAGCACAGCAGGCATCTGTGCTCTCCTGCCCAGCACAGGTTGCACCTGCCCATGCTGAGCATCCCAAGCTCTCCCTGAGCTCCCTGGCATTCCCCTGAATGGATAACTGTGGGAGGGACTTCAGAGTCGGGGTTTGGACTCATGCCCAAGTTACGTCATGCTGGACCTGGGGTCTCCTCACGGCAGATGCACAGCATCACAGCGATGCTTGTGAATAGCGTTATTCAGAAGAGGAGAGTTACAGACACAAGAAGTGAGCTCAGAGGTGCGCACACAGCATGCATTTCTAAAGAGATAACGATGCAGCATTGACTTTAGTTACAATGCATGTGCCACAGCAACAGTGGGATCATTCAGGTCAAATCCTGCTATCAGCTGCATCAGTGCAAGTCGAGACCAACCGCAGGAGTCACACAGCTCGGTGCAGCGCTCACTCACATGGTAATAAATCAGGCAAAAATCCATGGGACTCCATACAACTGTGTGGGTAGAAAAGAAGTGCCTATGGGGGGAGTCCTGTAAATCAGACCTCACTGATATAAATCTGCTCTGAACAGTGTGAGGAAGAGTCTGATTTGGCTCCTCCCAAACAGAAAGGATGGCAAATATCATAACAGTAAAAACAATTGTAACCTGTATCCTTCTCGGCCTCTCTCATGCCTGTAAGTGAAAAATCAGATTATTTTAGTCAAGGGTATTTTTTCTGTTTCTTATAACTGCACTTAATCAAACACAAAAGACTAAATCTGTAAAAACTTCTTTGATTCACAAACCAAACTTGATAAAGAAAGGATGTTTATACTACACAAATAGGACCTATAGAGACTTCAAACTTCTGAAAATTGCAGTCATTACGTACAGGAAATTTTGGAATAGCCAGCCTAGGTCTGACTGAAGTCCATTTTCTCCAATAGCCTCTTTGCCACAGGGACTAATAGCAAACATCTAGATGAAGTCTAAGAGCATTGCAAGCATGTGCCAATGCTCTCCTAGCAGACCCTTCTACCTACAGCAAACTTCTGCTTAGCGTCACTGAGCCAAAAGTGGTCCTGTTGAATTTAATATCTTCTGATGAACTTTCATTCCATGATCAGAAGTGGTTGCTTCCACAGATACTACATATTTATGCATAAAAATATCACAAAGGCCTTTGCCCTCTCTGTCACTACATCAGTGAATTTGCAAGTTCACTACTAACACAGCATGAAAATAATTCACACACTCCTAAGAAGACATGTCCACTCCTTATAGAGAGGGGAAATGAGACAAGGAGCAGCCCAAGAGCTGTGCCAAAGGCCGGTGCAGGATCAGCAGAGCAGAGAATACAGCTGACGCTTTCCAAGTTCAATGTGGGTGACCTAATTATTAGACCATCATTCTTCCTTACGCTCCCTCCAACAAAAATGCTGGTTTTGGAATGGTTAGGTGTTCAGTATTTCACCTGATTGAATATATATGGTCTTAATTCTCATATTTCAGGCTTTAAGCCCTAGAAGAACCCTGTGCTTTAACTCACAACTGCATTAAACATGAGCCTCATCAAAGTCAGTGACATGATGCTGGGGTTGAACGCTGTGTGGACTAATAACAAGCCCAAATGTTTCACAGGCAAACTGGCACAGTGCACACATTTTGTCTTCTGCATTCAGTTAAAAATTGTGCTCCCCCTGCTGTAATCCAGGCAGTGCTCGCGGGAGGCTAGCGATGTTTCATTTGCATCCCTCACACCACTGCTGATGGTGGTCTGTCCTGATGCAGACAATCCACAAGGCCCTTCCTTTACAGATCAGATACTACTCAGCGCTATCCGAAATCTTTCTGAGTCAATGGGCAATTAGAATAATTACCTTTAATCATATTCTTCAATTACTCCACAGTACTGAGGGAGGACTTGCAGGTCTGGGACCAGATGCAAACATATTGTTGTGATTAAAACTGGCTGAAATGCTCCAATGAATATAAAACACTGACTATTCACCCCTTTTGGGAACAACCCCTGTATGTTTTAAGCTGCTTAATATTTAAACTCATTAGAGTGACACCAGAGAAGCAACAGAAACCTGTGGTGAGTGCACCTGCAGGGACCCTTTCAAAGGAGTTGCCACCTTGAAACGCATACAAAACACAAACCAGCTACTCAGAAGAAAAGGCTGCTGCGTATTCACAGGATGAGCAGTTCTAACAGCAACTGGCAACGCAACCGTGAAGGCTGGGCAGGCTGGTTGGTGAATCTGCCCTTTGCACACCAGCTATCTCTGACAGCTCTGGGACCTTGCTATTCCAACCCAGGTTCCTCTTTGGGAGGCTGTTGGCACCTTTTTGTCCTGAGGGAAGGCCCCTGACCTCAGGTCTCAAAGGCTACAGGCACCCAGCTGTTTCCTTTGGGTCTGTCCCTGCTGGAAGCTTCTGGTCCTTCTTGCCAAAGGGATGCAGTGCCCAAAGTAGAGCTGGAGAGGCTCTGAGGTACCTCTGGGGGTCCTGGTGTGAAGACCTGACTGGATGCATTTGGTATGAGACTGGGGACAGTGGCAGGTTCACAGGGACTTGGCTGGGGATGCCTGGGAAATTGCTTTTTCAGGTATGCAAACTAATGATATAAAGGAGAACTAAATATAAGAGAGAACTAACTGATGCTGGGAGGGGGGAAAATGATTGCACAGGAAAAGGCAGGATATGTGAACTTACAACCGCCTCAAATCGCTGCTTTAGCAGAGTCAGGAACAGCAGAAAAAGCAGAGTGCTGCCAGCAGTCATCATTTAACTTGAAGTTTTGCACTACCTGATACTCTACTTGAGATGCTAGGTCTTCAAATCATGTGGCTGGGGCAACCCCTGTTTTAATTTAGAATATGCCTTGCTCTTGAGGCTGCAGAGAACAGTTAGAAGCTCTGATCGCTGTTACGTCAAAAAGGCTCAGCAACTAGGAGATCAATAGTACTAATTAAGAACCCCAAACACCTCTAAACGGTCAGGATTATTTTGAGCCTGCTTCTGGATTGTTGAATTCCTAGGGTTACAAACACAAGCTTGGTAAACAACAGGCCCATACCTGCTTGGCACCAGAGAGGCAGTTCCTTCCCTGTGACAGACACCAAGTCCAAGAAGTTCCTGGCTTACAAAGGGCAGAAGCCTAGCCCTGCATCTCCTCTCAGAATTACTTCAAGATGTAGTGCAGGAAAAGCCCACTGCATATTGCTGGGAATTCATGTGCTAATGATTTCCACTAGAGACCTGCAGAGGTGAGCTAGAGGTATAGACTAATGAAAAGTATGCATTGGCATTTAAATGTAAATACCATGTATATCCAACTATTATTCAGCACCAATAGTAACTCATTTGCCCAGCTCTGTTCCCTTTCCCCCCACTATATTGAGACCTCTCTTAAACTTACCCAGCAAGATCACTGCCTTAGTCCTGCACCCCTGCACAGAAATTATTCTTACAGTCAGTTTCCCCGAGTACTATCATCCAGACTCCAAAGCAGCACATTAATATATAATTTAAATCTAATTCATAACATTTTCCAAATAATGTTAATGATACAATAACTCAAATCTACTTCTCATTAAATAGCACAGTCTACACATACAAGAGGCTGCAAATGGAAAATTATTCTCAAGCCCATGATATAACATTGACAAAATCAATAAACTTTTCTTTCAGTGCTACCACCTGCCAGGCTTTTCAAACAAGATGATGAAAGTGGGCAACGTTGTACACAGAGTTCAAACATTCAGATCAAATTCTGACACCCTTGCCCCGTGCTTTTCGTGAATTAGACTGACAGACACTCAGGTCAGATACTGATGAGAGGAAGAGCAAAGATAAGGATCTGGCACCTCAGCACCAAGCTCATCCCTGCTCCGTGCCCAGATGGGCCAGCCTGCAGCTTGGTGGACCCATCCCACCCTTGGCTCTTCTCTGCTCACTGTTGGAGCCTGGAGCTTGAGCCATGACAGCACGATGGCCTGGCAACATGAACTAAAATTGAGCAGCCTCAGGGCATACGCTGAAGCCTTCTCCTACAGGAGTGTAGACTTGTGCAGTGTAGTCCCATAGGTACACCATGGTGAATGGCTAAGACACACTTCGCATTCAGAGTCGATCACAGCTACAGCTGATTTTAATTTCTCCATTGAGTTTAATGGGAACAAGATGAAGCTGTGATGGGACTTTCTGTGTGAGCCATAAATGCCTTCCCAAC